GGGCGGTACCCGACAGCGGACACTACCACCCCACACTTTCACAAAAACCCTACCCCCCCCCCAAACGCGTGGAAACGCGGTTCGCGGACCCCGTTCATTCGCGTCCAACACGCGTTTGAACGGGGATTGAACGTGAATTTAATGCGCATTCAATTTTTCAACGCGAAACCCGTGTTGAATCGATTTTCGGACACACAGGTTGTCGTCAACTCATACCCCGGCCCAGTTTTCTCTGATGACATAGATTGTGCTGATCTGAGCCTCCTACTTCTTCCTGCTTCTTCGTCTCCTCCCACTTCCTTTGTTCAAGATTTTTCATGCAATCAGGAGATCGCATAGTTTTGGAACCATTGCACGTCACATATGTGCCGAACCACTTCTTGACCCCGTGCTATCTTTCGTACCCCTTGACTCAATTCCCCCTTTTTGTATCATATCGACCCAACAAAGCCCTCGTCGCTTTGCTTGATTTCAGGTGCCTTGTTTAGGCCCCCAGTTCTCAAAGGTCTTATTGATTCTTGGAATTCTGCTTTTTGTAATTCGGGAAATGCATTGGAAATTATGCGCGCCTTAGCAAGTGCACCGGGAATCGGGCTTGACAATTAGGAATTCCGGAATAAGCAGAACCTGACGTGTCTTTTTCTTTGCATGAATCTTCTCGGTCACGTCGGAGAAAACTCTACGAATTTTGTGAGAATACGGATAAGCATAGGACTTTCTTTTCCCGCGTCGACTTTCGCGCGCGGGTATGGTGATTTCAACTTTTGAATTGGTTTAGGACATAGGTAAGCTGTAACTGTTTTGGTGCCTTTTTTTTTCTCTTGCTGTCGGCACCCCGCATGCGAGCTTCCTCCTCCTTATTTCCCGCGTCATTCTTCCCTCACGCTCTCTTCTCTCTCCCTTCTCCCTCCTCTTCTTCTCCTATCGCAACTGTTTTTCCCCCTCTCTAGTTTTTTGCGCGCTTGTTTCCTTTCTTGATCATCTGAATCTTGGACTCATCTCGCGCTACTTTTCGCGCCTCTTTCCTTCTCGCTCCTTAACCTTGGCTCACGAAACCCGGTTGATCCTTCGATTACCCTCGCTCACCAATCACACGCGTTGAGCAAGAGGGTCTTTATGTTGCGCGACGAATCGGATTGGTTGAACATTGAGTTCCGAAGGATCAACATGGCTTCCCTTGAGCACCCCTCGCTGAATCTTTTCCTCTTACACCTCGATTTCCCCTCTGTCTTCTCCCCCGTCTGTCATCTTTTTCGCAACTATAAATTCCGCAAGCGCGCCCACAAAGCTTTCTTACGTTTTCCACTCGCAAGCCTGCTTCCGGGAAGCAGTGGCTAGGTGATGCGTTTGGTGCGAGTCGAAAAGTCCCGTCGGGCTGACTGTACGCTGGCCGGTTGCGCGCTTGATCGCCACGACGGACTGTGGGATCCGGGCGAGCCGTGTCGAGTTTGCGTCAGCGGGGTGACGATCGCAGCGGCGGAAGTTAGCATGCGACGGTCGGGATTGTCGGTGCGGGTACGAGGATCGGTAATTGGAGTTGAGTGGATGATTGGCCCGGGGCTATACTGGAATTTCACGACGAATGCGCCTTCAATGTTGCGGATCATTTTTTTTGTGTGTGAGTTCACGACTGCGAAGCCGAATGTTCCCTTGTCGGATTCCGATGTCTCCTGTTTTGACATTTTTCATCTATCTCACTCATCTCTCTCTCTCTCTCCGATTTGAATGATGATGTGTTACGAGTTTGTCTCTCCTGTGAACCGAAGTGAACTCTTGTGATTTCCTGCGAAGACGAACTTCTTTCGGAACTCTTCCATTATTTTCCTGGGTAATCCCCGAATGCGAAGGAACTCAATCCTCTTGTCTTGTGAACGGTGGATGCGTGTGTACAATCCCCTGATTTATTTCTGATTTGTGCACCATTGTCATTATCGCACCTTCCACAGTGGATGTATGTATAGAAATGCTTGTATTTTTACATTGATTAGACCCAGCGCTCGACGGGATTTTGTTTGAGAATGCAAAAGTGTTTAGATCTGTCGTTCTGAATGCACTGTGCATGCCATCTGCCTTATACTGCACGACATCTGCAGACAGTCTATGGGGCAGCCTCGAAAAAGCCAAGCGCCTCGGGTTTTTGTCGACCTGGTCTACTGAAACTAAGTCGTGGGTTGATCTCTCGAAACTTCAACCCGATTATTGCATAGTTGTACGAACTCTGTAACATGCTTCTCCCGTGTCGAAGGGAAGGAAAATACTAGTTAGTTCCTTTTCGATTGTGCTTTTTGATGACGTCTACGGGGTTTTTGCAAACTCATTTTGATTGATTGATATGTGGACTGACGACCGTACCTCGATCGGGCGCCAACCTCCCGTATCTCCCTCGCCAACGCGCCCCTTCCCTTACAACGAGGAAAGGACACGTGTTTGTGAGTGGGACGTGCGAGAAGCTGTCGCACGGATCGGCGGACGATATTACTTCCCTCCCTAAAATCGTTGTTCTGGATTCATGGATGCGGGCTTTGTCATTGTCGATACGCACTACCTGCCTTACTCAGTACTATCGCCATTTAATGAGCTAATCGTCAATCCGTGGACGGCAGTGGCTCCCCATTGGCCTCGAAGCCTGTGCACGGAGTGCCAGCGTTTCGATCGCTACGAATCAAAGGGCTTCCACTACCGGATACGGAGTGAAGACGAGCACAAGGAAAAAGTCACGCGGCTGAGACCCTCCACGTCGGACTCTGAACTGACCAACGAGCGACGGCGGGACTTGATATGGAAACGGGACACGCGTAGTGTACCGGAGCCCTTCCGCTCTAAACGAAGATCCAGAGCGCGGTGGGAAGTTCGACAATACTTTTTGGATTGAATTTGGATTTTTCTCTTTTCGCGCCGTGCCCGCGCGCGCATTCCGCGACGCGCGAAAACAACCGACTTACTTCATCGGGCCAACACGGGGGATTTCAGTTCTGTCTGTGTCCCCACACTCAATTTTCCAAAAATCCTTGGCACACCCCATCTCGCTGTTTTCCTGGGCCCTCTTTCCGCACCCTTAGCACTCCGAACGGAAGACAGCACAGGGCATGAGGTTGTGTGTCACAGACGTCTGCCAATGCCTGGGCTATGGCGGCCCCCCTCCTCCCCTTTTCCCTCCCACCCCCCCGCTGTAGTCCGCTGCCGACAGACCGCTTGGATGTCACTGGCAACCATGGTCTTCTCACGGACTGACAGTCCCCTCACTGCCGCCTCCACACTTCCGCCGCCATCCATAGTTGAACACCGCTGCAAGAGAGACAGGTCACACACCACTCACACGAAGTCACCTGCGCTGGCCGCAATGCGTGCGGTGTCCGCATACGCACAGGCGAGGACACGACGAACCTGTCCTTACGGAGCGCACTGCCGGCGCGGAATTTGAATTCGAATTGGGTGGACCACGCCCTCGTGTTTCGGCGTGGGTGGACGACGTCCGGGGACCATTCAGGAGGCCCGCCTCCCTTCGCCACAATTCGAATTCTCGTGTCCCATGGGCCCAAAGGTCGCGGACACGATTATGTCCGACACAACTACGAGTCGGACATTCAAAACCCCACAAAAAACCGCATAACACAACTACGAGTCGGACATTCAAAACCCCACCAAAAAACGCATACAACGGAATGGGAGGCGCACTGAAAGGTAAGTGCGCGTAAGTGTAGGGTTTTCATAAGTGGTTGTGGAACTACAAATGGGGTAAGGGAAAATTAATCCATTTTCTGCCGTAAGGGCGCCCTTGCAAAGTAAGCGTTTTGTAGTGGTGTAG